TCCCTCCTGATAGTTAATGTACTGTCCTGATTGAGTACAAATTTTAAAGAAATGTCTTATATTTCAAAGCATTTAAGTACAAACATTTTTTTTAAGTGTAGCCATCAGAAAGAGTTTGTACCTTTAAGACTTTACAATAACAACAAAAAAGTGGCCCCCACTCTCATTTTTTGTAATATTTACATCTCATTCTGATAAACGTTGGCAGTCTGACAGAGAGTGAGAAAAAATAAAAAATAAAAATTGGAGAACAGCGTCACTGCACACCGTTCCATTTCATTTCCGTCTTGTCTAATCCCTCACATCTGAATTAAAAAAAGCCCTCTATTAGCATTATGGGCCCCTGAACAACCCCTCAACAACCGCAGCTGGTCCCATCATCTCTTTGCTAAGGGTTTGTCCTTTTTCTTTCTTGTCACAAAGCACACATATCACTCTCTCTCAGACTGTGCAATACATTTACTTACCCGCATCCTAAGGAACTGAACTGCATTTCATAGAATCTCAGGACACAGAATAGATGCACTGTTTTCATTCTCATGTAGTATGCTTAGTATAACGACGTATTTCTGAGTAATACAATGGTACTTTGTACATGAGCCCCTAAGGCAGAAGAAATAAACTTCTGAATTAGGGTTTGGTATGACTTCTGCCTTAGGGGTTTTAGTTTCAGACTAAAACTTGCTCTACGAGTTAAACTAGTTGCAGCTACTTCTCCAACTAAAACATCTCCAAGCCTCTTTACTGTAAAAGGTGGTAGGCATCGTCTCTTTTGGAACTTTCCATGCATTCCTCTTTTTGACCAGTTTTACTTTGATGTTGTTTCTGTTTGTAATTTCGGTCTTAAATAGGAAGCAATCAATTCGGTATTAGTTTTTCTTAAAATGAATATTTATGTCAACTATAAGAGCTGTGACTGATCTTATCTCTTAACATGACTTCCTGTAATTGTGCTATTGTTTTTTTTCTTTATTCTTCTTTGATTTTTTTTAGCATTGAAAGAAAACTACACTGAAGATCAGGCAACTAATCTGCATTATGTCTAATTTCCTAAGAGTCTGTCCATATAAAACATAAAAAAAGAAGTAAAACAAAGAACCTTACCAAAGACACGGAGTAGAAGGTATAACAGAAATCCTGTCTGTCTGCTGAGGAAGTGTCGTGTGTCAGCTCCTACTGTGTTGACAGAAAATGACTCGGTTACACCTGGATGGTTTTAGGTGTGGACCTGTCGGATCAGTCGAGGATGGGTGGAGCGTCTCACTCAGACTCCCATCTCCATTCTCCCATTCGCTTAATTAATCTGGTGAATAGTTGAAGGAAAGAACTTGGATTTTCTTTGTGTTTAATTTGTAGCCTGACATCATAACGAACTCATCCACTGTATTGATTAGTGCTGGAAGCTACCTGCCTAGTTGAGATAGGTAAATCAAAACATCATCCACAAATAATGCTATCTTTTGTTCCCCTCCCTGGTATGCCCTTTAGATTTTTTGTTTTTGTTTTACCCAAATATATCGCACATAATAGCGGGATAATGGAGCAGACTTGGCGGCACCCTCGTTGTAATGTAAATGCTTTTGAAAGGTTCTCATTAATTTTGATCCTTGCTATGGGTTGGTAATATAATGATTGAATAGTTTTGATAAATGTTTTGTTAAAACCAAATTGTTGTAGCATCTTATATAAGAAATTTCACCTGACAGACAAAAGCTTTTTCTGCATCTGTTCTTGTATTAATAATATTTTGCATTACCAGCAATGTATGCCTAATATTATCCATTGTCTGTCTTTTCTTTATGAATCCCCGTTTTTGGCTTTTAAACCGTTGGCAGCCGTGCGACTCACTGATCATCATGAGACAGATCTCGTTCTTGAAGTTGGACCAGTTGGAGTTGACCAAGGCCTGTTTCAGCTCCTTCGAGTTGATGAAGCCGCTCTGTTCGGCGTCGACGCTGTAGAACCACTGGTACGGCTCCGGGTTAACACCAGGAGGGATGTTACCTACACATAAAAGGGGGTTGGGGGTGTCGTGGAAAAAATTACTTTAGCAAGAGTCTGGATGAGAAGAAATAAGAAATTTATTAAAACCTTGCAAGATGAGAACAGAAATACAGTCAAAGGAGTCAGTCAGTCTGCTCTGACCAACAATGGATCTGGCTTCCTTTTATAGGTTCCAGTCAGATAAGAGAGACTTGATTGGACAATAGGTGTGAATCCCTGATTGTTATGTATCAGGGATTTTGTGGAGCCCAACACAGATGATCTGGCCATTTGTCTGTTGTTTAGGACAGGGGGTTGTTCTTTCATCCTAAAGAGGGCAGATACGTTGGGGAAGTAACACTTAGATAGTCTCCAGGATCAACGACGTGCCCTGCTGTTATATGGAACTGTAGAAGTCTATAGGAGAGCAGCTTGACCAATTTCATGATCAGTGGTGGCGCCAGGGGGCGCTAGGGGGTGCTATAGCTCCCCCTGGAAAAGTCATAGCACCCCCAGAAAATATTAGATTTTTTTTTTCCATCTGATTTAACATTACTTATATGTAGTTGTTGCGGCATTTTCATTAAAAGACACAAAATAAAAAAATAAATTATTATATACCGAGTTAAAAAAAATCCCACAAGAGGATTTGAACTTTGTCTATGCGTATTATCACTTCCAGGAAACGATTGACATGATGCCTGCTCTATGGAGCAATCCTGCCCCAATCATTCCAGGCCAGGGTATTTGTCAGCAACTGATCAATCGGCGGTCACAATTTGTAAGAAAGTGTACGTCCCTTATCTAGATGAAATGACTTTGACGATACAGTGTTTATCATAGCAAACTACCATATGTTGGTCAGCACCAAGGTAACCGGTAGTAAGCATATTTTTTTATTTTTTTATCATAATAGTGATAGTCAAATCAAGCCCTGTAGCGGTTAATTAATTAAATAAACACAAGTTAATTTAAAATAACTTGTATAATAATAATAATAATTAAAAAACAAGTACGACAATATGACCATTTGCACGTGACGTCACTGTCTCCATCACGATGGATGTCCAAACCTATGCTCTCATGTATAAAGCCTGTCAAAATACGTACATGTGGTAGCCTTATATCGCTTTTATTTAGTTGATTTAGTTGATTTCGCAGTAAAATGGTCACAAGGTGCTGCGCCGTCGGCTGCACAAACAGACAAGGGTCAAAACCAAGCATGTCATTTTATTTTAATGAGGAAAGATGCGGTGGATAGCAGCCGTCAATGATAATGATTGGCAGCTCTTGGTGCAACCACGGATTTACAGCGAACACTTTATACAAGGTAAGAAAATTAACGTTCATATACTGTATAAGTATGATTAGAAAGATCTCAAATATGGCATTATGGAGAAGGTTCGAGTCTAACCATCAGTAACCATGGAAACGGTGCCATGCCGTCATGTAGCCTAGCATGTATGGGGAAAAAAACGAGTAGCGTCTCGTCTTCTGTACGTTTTTAAGGCTGCTCCAGGTTAAGAGGAAACGCTGTTTATGACATAGTGAGATAAATCATGTGGTGTGAATTCAGGCCAAGTGGGTAATTTGACCAACACGTCAAGCGGGAGGAGGTTCGGGTCGGTTTCTAAGCTAGCTGTTTCAAGCTTCTGTAAATACCGCGGTGTATGAGCCCCAACCAAGTGTGTTACGTTCACAGACAAATTTGCTCGACTCTAACAAGTAGAAACCATGAATAAACTGACAAAAACAACTTGGAAAAACAACTTTATCCACTCAGTTCAATACTCCCGATTCTCACTTCCAATGCACAACATGGCGCTTCGAGTGATTAAGTGACGTAGTTGCAAAGGGTCAATACTAGGGTATCCTATTTGTCATGAATGCTGTTTTAACCTAAACAATGTAATATTATCTGGAAGTAATCTGGCTAATGACTCAAAGCTTTAGACTGACGTCTAAGCGTGAAATAAATGCAAATCAGTCTGAAAAATAACAATACTAATGTGTGTGTGTTGATAACTATAGGGGAAAAAAGATCCGTCATAGCACCTTCAGTAAAATGCCTAGCTCCCCCTTAGCACCTGCAGAAAAACATTTCTGGAGCCGCCACTGATGAGATCATGCAGACACATGATCTTACCATCAGACACAATCTAAAGCACAAAAGGGGTGAGGAGCACATTATAAAATTTTCCATTACAGGGGGGAAAATTTTATAATAAAATGAAACATTGTTTCATTTTTTTTTCTAAAAGCCAAAACCCAGTAAATATTCTTTTAGTGTTTCTATTCCTTGTATTCATTCCCATTATGCACCCAGTGAATCAGATTTGAGACCACTGAGCAATATTTCATATCTTAAGGACCTACACTGTCCATAATGAAAACTCATGATTTGTTTGAGAACTCTTCTCTTCCTGCTACAAAATACATCCGCAATATAGACAACAGGGCCTGCTTTTCAGCTCGTGTTATTGTTTGTTCTGTCACACTGACGTCCCAACCATGAGCTCAACTTCTGATTGGACGCTAGAGGGGGGGAAAAAATGTAGACAAACAGAATAAAAGGAGAGAAAAAAAAAACAACCACAACAAGCCACTCCCTACTGTGCATCCAATCCAATACTTACTAAATGAGTCACTCAATACGTCACCTTCTGACAATGCAGAACGATGATTTTCTCTTCCTTGAAAGAAATATGTACTTTTATCACAAAGAATAAACTGCAGTAACACTGTTCATGTGTCAGTAAATGACAACTTTTTTGGATAAATCAATAAATACAAAATATAAAGCAAACCATCTTCAATATGTCTTTACCCCCATTTCAAACTCTATTTTTTGACTATTTCATTGTTAAATAACAATCAAAATAGGTTTGTGAAAATACTATTTTTCAGCTAAATGAACAAATATTAACTTTTATTGTCAAGCAGTTGTAATGAAAGGGTGTGATAAGACTATTTACCTGAGACAAATCCAACCGAGTCATTCAGTTGTACTAGAAAATGCTTAGCATTGTTCAATAATATTTAAAGTTGTAGCCAATGCTTAGATCCTCATCAGTGGCCACATTCATTTATTTGTTTGTGTTGTAGTTATTTACACATATATTACAGTCAGCGCAACCAGAATACAATTACAATCACAACACAAC